CACACACACACACACACACACACACACACACACACACGCACACGCTTACTGTATTTAGAGTTCAGCTCTGTGGATCTCCAGGCAAGTCGGATCAGGTGTCTCACAGATAAAAGCACATAATCGCAGCAGCTCTGGACCAAGACAACGCTGACATTAGTTTTATCTCGCTAAGTAGCACAGATGAATGAATTCCATTTCCTGCAGCATGTAAATATCTGGTTTTCAGGGGTGTTTACCTCGGTCACTCTCTTCAGCTCATTCTACTTTCTTTGTCTTCACGCTGGCTCTCTTCCTCCCTGTCTGTACCGTCAGCTGTTTTTGTAAATGAGTTTCATGAAAATGGACAGAACTCTTTTTTGACTGCCTCCTCTCTTTTTCTGAATGAAGCGCGCGCGCGTGCACGCACACACACACACGCACACGCACACACACACTACACGCAAACAGAAAGCCTGGCTGGCTGGCTCCCTCCTTCCCTACTGCTGTTATGCTATCATGCGCACAGTTTGCACCGCTCCCTTCTCCTCCAACCCTCCCTTTCGTGTAGATATTCTCTCTCTCTCTCTCTCCCTCCCTCCCTCCCTCCCTCCCCCTCTCTGTGTAACAATATAATTGCAATGACAGCCAAACCAGATATTGCAATAAGTCCAGCTGTTTAAAGGGCTGCTGTGATCAGCCAGTATGTCACTAGATGCAACGGCAAGATGCTTATACGAGAGGTTACAGAAAATACATTTAGTCTTTCACAACTCCAATTGAAGGTTTGGTACTTTTTTTTCTGCAAAAAAAGGGAACAAGCCTACATCCACAGGCAGGGAAAAGATACAGTCCAGGCAAACTAGTCACCATTCATTAATCTCCATTTCATGGGAATATATGAAGTCAAGCTGAATGAGCTCAACGTAGTGTAAGCTGCTAGTGAAACAGAGCACTGCTGCAATGTCCAAAAATAAAATAGTAAAAAACGGGGGGTTTTGAAGGCAAGATGGAGGGGGGGAATAATGAAACCACCTTATTAGCTCGGAAAGAACCGTAATCCCACAGGACAACATATTTGCATCTTCTCCATGCAGCCCCCTCACTGCAAACTGCAGCTGAAGACGCAGTGGAGGAGAGCAGTCAAAAGTTCAGCATCAAAGAAAACATCAAAAGGGAACTCTAGGTAAGGCAGCGTAAGGTAGCTGATAGATGGATACACAGGATCCGTTCAGATCCCCCAGCCCCGTGGGTTAATCACACAGTTTAACCATCATAGTGTGAAATAAAGTTAAACTGACAATCGCTATCGGAAGATATTCAGTAAAAATATGGGATTGGGGATAATGGTTTTTATTTGCTGATGCTACATTTTGAACAACAAATTCGAAATCGGCAGGAAGAGAGCTAGTAACATTGTTAGCATTGAAGCTAACAGTTAAGGCACGGAGGTTGCATTGAGTTACATTATGATGATGCATTCATGCTCTAGTCAGTGAAAATGAGTATTGGGCAGAGGTAAATGATACATTTTGATGTGTACAAATGTAATCTAGTAAAATGTAGCTTTTGGCGAGAAACTTGAATGAATAGAGTTGTTTGAAGGACATGTTTTCACAAACAATAATAGAATATTTTTTTCCTAACCATTTGAATTATGTATTTGTATGCAAATAACCACTAGAGATGACAGTAAAAAAGTAAAAGGATAAGATATATTTGCTCACTTTTTTTCTGCCGATCCAATCAATCACTCAAAACCTTGATAAGATCTGAACAATGTTTCACCTCTAGTGAAGCAGCTACAGCTTCCTGTAGCCTTAGTTAATTACGTTCGCAACTGCAAGCTCCTCTGTGAACTGAATAAGCCTTTATTAGAATATAGACAATTTCTTTACAATCTTTTGTTGGGGCATCAGTTTTACATATAATAGCAGGGAGCAGTAAAATATTAAAGAGCCAACATGAGCTGGAGGTTAGATGGAGAGGTACACTGGAAAAGTGTTAATTGCAGTTAAGGCAAACATCAAAACTCAAAAGTAAAATCATGGGACATATTGGTTTCCCAATCGACACCCAGGATTTCCTTCTCCGTACCGTGTCCCCTGACATAACCTTATTATATTCCATGTTTTAAATCCATTATATTTGACAGCCCATTTCTAGGGCTGGCTCCTCTTAGTCGATTAGTCAACTAATTGGTCAATTTTGGTCTTAGTTGATTAAGATTAGTATTTTTGGAGCTTTTTCATGCTGAATGACGTATTTCCAGGAAACTTAAGAGCAAGATGTCTGGTAAACACAATACTTAGAGGGGTGCTTTCGTGTGACTCTTTGTGGAGAAACAGTTTTGCAGGTCTGTCAATTAAATCAACTAATTCATTTGTAAACAAAATCGTATGAGTGTTAGTCGACTAAGAATTTCTTTGGTCGAGGACGGCCCGACGTATCTCTGGTATGACTGCCTGGTAGATGCATAAGCCTGATGTACACATAGTGTAAATACTTTAGTAAGTTCCAGTAAAATCTTGTTTTCGGGTGCAGGGGCCTAATACTGATACTGCATAGTTGAGCATGTCAATTTTCCCCATTTTATTTCCAAGGGAAATACACTACTATGCTGCTCTAAAGCACTACAGTTTGAGGCAGGAAACAGGCCTACATCTATGTGAAAGCACCTTAAGGTGCTGTGAGTTTGCCCACAATGTTAGTCTGCCACTGTACAAGATAAGCAACGCAAAGTTCTCCTTCAGCTTTAGGATAAAGTTGTTCACGTTAACAAATCTGTCCAGGCTGATAAATGGTCTATATTTATTCTGTTTTTGAATGTAGAGTATGAACACTTTTAATTGTATACATTTAGCATTGATGCAGCAAGAAGGTTTTTGGTTTAAGAAGTACTGTAGAGAAAATGGATGGATGGATGTTAAGCACACATTGACTGTTTATCTTATCTAGCCAAGTTAAGACGAGCAACCAACCAACAACTCTGCACTCCTAGCCAGGGCTGCAAAGTACGACCATTTAAATTGCACATGTATCCAAAATCTGTGAAGCACGACTAAACATTTTCATCGATCGCACCGGTTTGCCTGACATTAAATAGCAGGTCTGACCTCTTCGGTGGAGGCAACTGCTCTACAACCGGTCTTCCCTGTCCCAGGTAAGATTCCTAATCCTGCTCAAAGGCACCGGAAGTGGGGAGGGGGGGGGGGGGGGGGGCACTGTCGGCTACATTTAATACCATGAAACAACTTTACTGCTAATTTCATCTCTGCTCCGATGATCGCCAAAGAGCTGATCTGTTCTGAGCGCATCTCTCTCTGTCACTCAATCACACACTCGCAATATACCAACATAATATGTAAACATACATGTGGATGGCACTTAAACCCTGTCCATGGTCATTTTACACAGGGTAGTAATGCGAGCATTAAAGATCGGCGGGGAGTTTTATACTTTGTTTTCTATCTACTCTCGTTCGCAATGTGGGACAAGGGCTATGTGGGGTGAACTTCTAACGCCCTTCTGATCCAACATCCTCAGGCAAGATGGCCTGATTTTAAAAACATTTATCTGCACCTTTATTCCCATTTACAATCATTTACATAATTAACTAAAACCAATGTGTATGCGCCTAAATGAAAACGTTAGGCGCACCAGTGCCACAATGTAGAAAGTTAAGCTGCTTTCCAAATCGCATACATACATCTTTTTTTTTTTTTTTTTTTACTTTTAGTACATACTGCAGCTGCCCTTACAAAGTATGTACTGTTTGCATGCAGTATGCGTTGAACTGGGTAATCCTCATAACACTGCACCTTGAACTTTGACCCACTTGCTTATCTCGCTGCACAAAGAATTGTGGGTCAGAATAGCCAGAAAAACATGCTGGCTTGCATACTGACAAATGTGACTGCATGCAATGGTACATCCTGGTATTTTTTGGCATACTGCATTTGACATTTTATGTATCTGGCACATTAAATAGTATGAACTCGCTCGCCTAGCATTGCAAAAGGTTCGTCTCAGGTTGAGCACATGACTGGGATAAAGAGGATGGTATGCAGTAATGGCACCTAATGCCGCAAAACAAGTCCAGCAGCTTCTTGCATTTGCGCCGTCAGGTAGCCTCTTTCAGAGGATAGTAAGAGAAGACAGCAAAGGGCTTTGAAAGCAGGAAGGAGAGAGGGGAGGACACGAGCAGGGATCAGTGGCCAAAGACACCACAGATAAACCGTTCCTGAACACAATTACAAGGTGTTGCAGTCTCTAGTATATAACTGAGGTAAAGTTAGAAGTAAACACTAGGAAAATGGTTATTATTTACACAGCAAATGTAAAAACAAGCCAAAACAGAACTCACTTAATACGATTGTGTTTGGACACAACCAGGTTATTACTGACTAATGATTAAGCATGAGTTGAATGAGGTTTATTTTAGCCCAAACAAATGACGCTACTCTTGCATTGAGTCAATAGATACTCATTCTAAATGTGTTACTTTTTTTTCCCAGTCAAGCAGCTATATACCCGGTGTGAAGCCAGGCTTACGGCCATGCAACCAGTCGCCTCCTTTCTGCCCTGATCAATAATTTACATCAGAGCAAGCAATGCAGGAAAGATACAAAAACTGAGGATTGAGAAACAATGGCTGAGGAAGACATCAAAAGAAAGGCAGCTCGGAAAACAAAGACAACAGGAAAAGAAGAGGGAACAAATAAAGATGGAGAGAGACAGAGAAACAGAAGCAGGAGTGGTTAAGAGAAGAGAGATATAGGAGCAGCAGCAACAGCACCAGGCTTGGTGCTCTGGCAGAGATCTATAAATAGCTCTTCAAATCTCTCTAGAAAAAGCCTCGTTCTGCTTATGCTGCTGCAAACAGAGATTCAGAAGGAGACAGAACAAGATATGGATATCTCGCTGACACATTTTAACAGCGATCATGTCTAACTGCCTATTGCAATCACATTACCCTGTAAATTACAATATTAAAAAAACGCTTTTACATCGACCATCTTGGCTTGTATAAATATTTGATTGGAGGAAGTGAATACAGTAAAAACAAGTAGGTTACATCCAAAACATAAACGTGCATGTTCTATGGTGTATGAATACTGAATTGTTTATCACTATGTACCCTGCAAAAAAATAAAAAATAAAAAGAATAAGCACACTTCTGAAATCTCTTCATCAATACTTATTCTTACACACAAAAACATGTCAAGTTACTATAATTTATTGATGCTTTACCTATTTGATAAGTAAAGCAACATTGGGATTTTCAAGTTGCAGGGTAGGGGAAACCTGTTGACAGGGATGAGAGATACGCCATCTTTCTCATTGCTGGCCTTAGCAACAGCAGACTGTTGATTCAATGACTCACCTCCATCAGATCTGACTACAGACAAGCCTTTTTCTCAATGATGCTAACATTACACAAGCAATTTGAGATTCTACAGGTACTTTCTCAGATCAGTCTTCAACAGAACAGACAAATTGAGACATTTTCAAAACAGTCTCAACATCAAATGGGACTGTGTTGGCAGTCCTTGCCTGCCTCTTGGTAATTTTCTGCATCACATGACTAGCCAATGGCAATAGTAATGAATATTTATGTTTTCAGTCACACATGCTTTTTCCCCCAGAGCAGATGTTTGAATCACAGCTCCGACAGTCTGTGCTGTGATCCCACCTAGTTTGACACCACAGTCTTGCCATCTATTTTCAGCTTAAGTATCAAAATGTTGAGCTAAAGCCAAGACATAAAGATCAATGGCCATTTGTCATGGTTTCCTTGACAAACCCTTTTTCTTCTTTGAATCGTCATCAACTGTGTGTTTTTATTATGGACTGGAAACAAAATGAGTGATAATCGCTTGTTTCTGTTTAATCTCATTAAATCTACATGTCTCCCTGAGGCATGGCCTTGGACATACATATTACGAGCACTTCAATGCCATAGTGCAATCAAGACCAGAAGTGTAGTCTGGTTTTTAGAAGGATTTCTTCATCAGCTCACAATTCAGCCTCATATCCCACGAAGACTCTATCATTAATACAAACTATAGATTTGTTGTTTCAAATTGATTTGTCATGACATCTGCACCTTGTTTGCTGTCGTGTCTGACAATCATTGGAGACAAACATATAGACGTCACGGTGTAATGGCAAAAACAACACCTTGTTGTCACCAGCTAAGGTGACAACAAGGGTGATTAAATCAATTCCTGCTCACTTCATTGTAATTGAACCAGATAATAAGCTAGTCACTTCAATCCTAGAGTTTCAGTAGCTTGTCCCTACGATTGGAAGGATACAATGTTAACATGGCCATCTCTTGTCAGGCATGGAGAACACGGACTTTAAAGATGGTGCTTAACGTCACGTTATATGTCTAACTAAAAAAACATGGATCATCGATAAACGTTACAAGTGATCTCAATAAAGGTTCAGCTCACCGTTTCGTTGGCCGTATGGTGAGAGTCCGTGTGGAGAATCCTTTAGGTTGTGTCTGTGGAGAACAGATGGCAGTATGGTCAGAGCCGTGGCTGAGCAGATGACTGAAAATATTAGCTTGCCCACACGCTAACAATAGCTAGCTCACGGCATTAGCTTGCTTCCTCCGGCGAGTATAATTAGCCACCTACAACACCTAGCCACCTAGCTAATGCTAGCCCGATAGCTAGCCTTTTCTTATTCAGTGTACGCTAGCAACCCTACGTTAACACAACTTAGAGTTTATATTACAACCAGTTAACCGACAAAGTAGCACGTGTTTACGGTAATGCGAACGTTGTTGTAAACATGTACTTGCACTGTCAAGTCTCAACATATGAGGTGCTAGCTGATACGCTTAGCTAGCTTTCCCAATGACTTACCAATGCTAATATAATAGAGCTGCTAGCTCGAGTCTGTTCACTGCGACCCCAACTGTCAAAATAGCGCCGCGTGAGGGGAGAGCGGCATGAACGTTAACGATAGACAGCAAGCATTGAGAAGAAAGGCAGTCGAGTCTGTTACAGGAACACAGCCAAATAACAACAAAACGCCAAAGAATAAAAGGACACAAATTAAAGAAAAAAGAAACAAAACGCTATTCCCCCTTCTCGGCTCCGGCTTGTATGTGTGTGTCAGCGTCACTTTTTTCCCCTCACCGACAGTTTACGTCAGCGGCGTACTGAACATTCGCAGGGAGACGTTCAGGATACAGTGAAATTGTTTACCTATTATTTAACGTTACTAGACTCAAAATACAGAAACTGTCAAAATGTTTTACTTTTGTGTTACACGTGTATCTTTAAGATGCCATTTGTGTCTCTTTCATTGAAAGGCAATGAAGATGTGTTGGTATTATGAACTTTAAACCACTGACGCATTCTATGAAAGCACATTTTTCCACAAAATATCTCCCACATACCATATCTAATGAATAAAAGGTCTAATGAATAAAAAAAAATACACGCTTTATATTAACATTATCAGTCTAACATTGAATGATTATGAGTTTTAGTCGTATTTTCAACGTTTATGATTGGAGGGTTGTTTGAGTTAAATTTCCCATTAATTTACCTTTAGTATGTGAGGCTACACTTGTAGCTACTTTACACATTTTCAAAGGAACCGATACAAAAGTAAAGTTTGTTGTAGTTCTAAAAGTTCCCCACATGTCGGCAGGCTGAGGTCGCTCAACCTCATAGTCCACCCTAAAGGCAAAAATATAACCTATATGCACTGTAAGTACAGCTGGTGGCACACATTCTAAAGGTGTTCTGTTTTAGTGGGACACTTTTCAACACACGTTTACACATCACGTAGAGCTTTTAAATAGTTTTAAAAGACACATTTTTTTCCTGCAGCGCATAGCTGTAGGGCTCTTTACCAAAGTTTGTGCAATGACACTCTAACTTATTCGCAATGTTACTATATTCAGCATGTTTCACTTGAAATAAGTCATTACAGTAGCTTTCTCCACACCTCAATTCCTCACACACTAATTCCATTGCAACAGATCACTTATGTATATTATTGTCTCGGTGTAAATGAGACCGGTTTGCTGTAAACCTATATTAGGGGCAACCGTGCAATTTCAGCAAATTCACAGGGAAGCTCAAAGGTGAGGATCAAAGCTGTGCAACTTTGGTAAACTGTTCTATTTTGGATTCTACATTGTGCACAAAATAGACTCTCGTAAGAACCCAAACAGACACAACTTGTACGGGCAATTGTATGACAGAGACAGTAATTAGCCTTTGTTTCTTCTTTTCTCTCTCTTTCTCTCTCTCTCTCTCTCTCTCTCTCTCTCTCTCTCTCTCTCTCTC